AACCTTCCAGATCTGAACGAAACTACTTGTAGGAAGATATTTGCACGCATACTCACCAGCACTAGGATCCGCTTCGAGATACCCCAGCCTGCGAGCGTCGTGATAACCTAAACCCACGACCATAGACAGTTCGAGACGGCCTCGAATACCTCATCGTAGGAGACTCCCTCATGCTCCATGCGCGAGAGGATGTAGTTAGTGCTTCCATTCATGATCCTAAACACCAATGCACAGTAGTCGATGGAGGCAAGATGCCCACCCAGAGATGTGATTGAATGTGTCAGCCCTGAGCCCACGTAGTGCGGTGTTAACTATCGGTATACCACCACACACCGCAGCCTCATATAAGAACTGTACCTGACAACATCCTTGGCCCTACTCCAACAATTTTGATGAAGTACGTTGTTCTCCAATGCCAGCTTCTCTATCGCGTCCATGTATTTCGATATCAGCGCTTTATTAGCCGTCACGATGTGCCTAATGGGCGCAGCACGACTCCTTACAGTCCCATTTCAATCACTCCGGGAGTCCAGATGCACCGCCACTCACTTGCCAGCTTCCATGGCGTGCTTGGTGTACGTCCAAGCAGTATCTGTTCCTCCCATAACCTCGATGACGATATCTGCGAGACCGACCGAGCAGTAATAGATTTAATAGAGAGCCCACCTATGGAGGCGTCATCGAATATGCACTGGGCATCAGTGACAACCTCGCAGCCGTCCGGTAGAGCGACGTCGCGACTCTTACCGACATCGCGAACACATATCTGCGATTATGACCAGGCATTCAAGGGAAAGCGAGTAGTCCTCTCTAGGACGTGCTCACTTTAACCAGTGAGATGATATGCTCATATGGTTTCAGTAGTTCAACAACTCCACCACCGACAACGCCAAAGCCCAGCATGGCTATTCTAATGATGGTGATGTCATTAACTTCATAAGGCCCGACAGCTTAGATTTAACTCACCTGACCCTATCCTCGGTTGGGTTTGCCATGGAGATTAGTGGCAAGGAGGAGCTTAAAAACTAAATGGGGAGTAAGTCAGCCACGACGGTAATGATGACAGGCAGTCGTGCTCACTCCATACAGGGATCACTGGATCCACACACAGTTTCACACTTCACATGCCGACTGTCCTGGTCAGTGTAATGTTTTGCCCGAATTTTCAATAATTCATCCACTTCTTTTAAGAAATTTACCTTGTTATTTTTTCCCTACTGTTTTTTCGAAGAACTACGGGAAGTTTCAACGAAGTTGCTGACCATTTTGAAAACTTATCGAGTAGCACAGCGGACTTCAGAGCTGTCCCGAGTGGCCGGCCAACTGCCCTGTTGATTGACACCGACTAAACTCTGTACAGGAGTAATACCAATGATGAAAGTGATAAGGGGGAGCGGTCAAGATATAGCATCTATCAACGTAACAATACTCGACAAATCTCAGAAGAGAGTTATTGATCAGCCTTCTGAACGACCGTAGCGATCATCTAGAGGCTGTCTACTCTGCCATGTATAAGAACGGTAATACTATACAGACGATAGACCATATGGTGATGGGAAGCTGCTGCTGCTGCTGTGTCTGCTGCCAGCACCGATACTAGCCGTGAATAATGCAACAATAGTACACAAATTAATACACGAGACTACAATCAACAGCGGAACAGTTATCAATAGTAATATGTAAGAAGATTGTTCGCTGAAATTATACATAATACGTCAAACTCTAATAAGAAACTATAAACGACAAGAAAGAAAAATATCCCTCAATTGTAGCAGGTCTGAAGAGAGAACTTTCGTGTACAGCATCATGTGCTCATCCTTACCTCAGCCCTAGATAACGTCGAGCTCCTAATGGTAGTGGCTTCCTCATCATCATCATCATCATCATCATCATCATCATTATCTGCATCCCTGCATAATCCTGCACCTCCCTCCGAGCTCCTTGTCGTGCCAGTAGCAGAAGCACTACTTTCTCCTGCATTACCCTCGACACTTACAAGGCCACCACTACCACCATAACCAGCACGCTTAGCTCCAATCCACACTGTCGGCACAGATATTCCGTACCTCACCAAAGTCACATCTAGCCAACAACAACCACACTCGTCAGTTAACAACCTACTTCTCTCCCCACCAGCCTCCCTTAATTAGACTATTCTTAGCGGAGCGAAGCGCGGCCGTAATACCCGGCCATCGCCATGCGGACTTACCCAGATTCACGTGTTCACCTAAAAATCCCCTGAGCACAGCTGTGATTGCGTACGCTACCGTTTGGCGAGAGAGGATCCAAGATAACGAGCATGTCCACCTTGAAGGCTTCAATGAGCTCATCATTCGTTGATTCCCGCAGGGTGAAGTTGAGAGTATCATCACTTGAGCTAAACGGTCGTATTACGAGTCGTGATGCATCGAAGAAGGTTAGACTCGAACCTGGTCGTCATAACCACTAAAGACTGCCGTAGCATATGCATTAACCCACCATCGGGTAAAACAAACAGGAGATTCTCGTTCACCAGATTGCGACATGTCTGATCATCATCATCAGGTCCTCCATACCACATCAAGAAGTGTAATAGAAGCTGACCGAGCGGAACTCCAGTCCAGCTATCAGCCGAGTAAAACTGGTTTAAAAATGATACAACCAAGAGCACCTATACACCGGCCAAGCATGAATGATACTCCACCTTCATTCGCCAATCGGGCGTGACCACTCTCCTGTCACCATCCAGTGCATGGAACCGTCTCTTTACGCCGTGGAGTAGCAGCTACTATATGAGCTGGCCGAGTTCCACTACACCATTTCAAGACCAAGTTAGTAAAAGCCTAGACCAATTTAATGATGCCCAAAGCAGTTTAGCTAAAAGCCCAGAGTCTGGGCTATCAAATCGGTCCGAGCCCCAGACCAATTTGGTATAAGCCTCAGTGGGAGTTCCCCCAAATCCATCCGAGACCAGGCATCGAAGCAGGTAGCATGCTGCACGCCATCAGGGGAGAGGGAGGGGACCGTGGGCGAAACCGTTCGGGTCTAACATACGCGAGGGGGGTCACACCAGAAGTGCAAGGAGATGACAGAGGAAGGCATTGAATGCATAATCGAATCTGGCTTATCATAGTTGAAGAGATGCTGGATACTATGGAAGTTGATGGGTGGCAGCTCGCACCTCTCGCATTCATCGGGGATAATGCACCCGCGCATTCTGGCCTGGAGACCGCTTCCGAGACAAGAGGTGATTTACGGCCACGTTGAAACGTGCCAGCGAGTTTGGGTACACGACTTTCGCCCATTCCTCCAGGAGCAACTCCATAAAAGACTGTTTCTCCGCTGCGAGACTTACGACAGAGAGAGAGAACGCAGGGCCGAAAACGCAGCGAACAACGGGATGGTGAGAGAGGCCATAGAACAAAAACAAGAGTATCGTGCGAAATGCTTCTCGGGAAGGGCGTCGATACTATGACAATGGCAATACCCGAATGCATACGATGCTTCAGCCACGTGCGAACCTTACACTCGAGATGCACGGTCATGGAACATATCTCGTCGGCGCTTGGATGATGTACTGCTCCAGCACGGCCTCATGTGGTACTCAATGTGGGCAGAATTGATTTCCGTAAAGAATATATTCTTCGTCGAGTGTTGCTAAATTTCTCAGAGCTTCTATTGGATTGGTCCGGGCTTTTACTAATTTGGTCTGGGCTCTATTAAATTGGTATGGGCTTTTACTATTTTGGTCTGGGCTTTCACTAATTTGGTCTGGGCTCTAGTAAATTGGTCTGGGCATTGGTCTGGGCTTTTACTAACTCGGTCTGGGCTCTAGTAAATTGGTCTTGGTTTTTTCATGATTTGGCCTTGAAATGGTGTAGTCAGGAAATACTGCAATATACAGTACTAGATACTGACCAAGCTATATACATCAAATTCTGTAACGAGAACAACGAGTGTGAACGGGATCTAAATCCAGTAATAATTTCGTCGCGCAGTGATAAACTATCCAGCCATAACCTACCAGTGTATAACTGCTAATTCCGCCATTATACGGCGATATAAGGCCTTCGCACAATAATACATGTTTCACAAAAAGGACTAGCGGTCGGAGACAATCGAAATGCTGGTTCATCATAGCAATGTACGCGGAGGTTTCAAGACCTACATGCAACACCAGTGATGGGCCTCAACAACGGGACGTACCTGTGTGGAAGGCGCCTAATAGTGATATCTGAACTTGGACTGGTGAGTGTAGGGAGCAATGCGCGTTGAGTCCCATGTTACACGTACCACACCTAAGTCAACAAGTACCGACGACTCGCCTGCCTTCCATTACTGCTGATATAGCTCATCATCGAGAGCTGGATCACGACACGCTAGAGTGATCAATGGTACTCGTGATGATGTTATAACGACTGGAGCGGTACTGATGATACCTGCAGCACAAGCAGGCTTACACGGCGCATTGGAGAGCATAGACACCCACCTGGAGCCGCGCATTCTGTAAGATAGCCTGAGACCATCTTCAGGAGTTCAACACACCCTGCCGCTGTTTTCACTGGATCCTCGAAACCTCCAGCGTGCGCTTCATCATCACAACCCTGTGGGGGAAAAGATGTCCGAACCAACGGGACGTTAAAACCGATAGCGAACCGCTAGACCCTTTGTGTATCAAATGAGCTAACCTAGAACATACCCTAGGTCCCACCTTATGCTGATACGGTTGCCCGTAATGAGCCCTCTGGGGCTCACCGACGGTCACTGAGGGAGC